ATGCGAGATTTCAAACCTCATTAAAGGTTAGCACTCTTGCCTTACACCAAGAAGTTCCTGAGTTCAAATCCACTAACTGTCCACACAGAAAAGCCTGTGTGGAGTTTGCATGATGTGTTTGTGTAACTTTTCTCCGGGTACTCTGGCTGCCTCCCACAGTCCAAAGACTGAGGACTAACTTGTTAGTGGGGTTTGGTTTATTGGTGATTCTAAATTGCCTGCGTGTATGAATAGTTTCTCTATGTGTTAGACTGGCGACCTGTCCAGGGTGTACCCTGCCTCTATGACAGCTGGGATAGGCTCCAGACGCCCCTGCAACCCTGATAAGGATCATCAGAAGAGGATGGATGGAGTGACAACTATGTGAAAGTTGTTATAAGTTCATTAAAGTTTTATGGTAACCAGACTCTGGACTTGATGTTGAACAATCCAAAGAATAACTCTAATCACACTTGTAAATGAACTTAAAATAATCATGAAACAGATTTCAACTTTGATAAATTGTTTTCTATTAGCATTAAGTTCTTTTGTTGGAAAATTGTCATTTGCAGGAATCAACTCAATGAAATTAAGTTGGACTCAACTCCAGTAAACAAGTTGATTCATCATTCGCTATTGGTATAAAAGGGGAAACTGATTCACAAGAGGCAAATATTATAAACAAACCATGCAAAAATATCAAAAGAAAATCAGCATCGAAAGCCAGTGAAGTAGCACTGCAAGCTAACTCTAGCCCACCTGAAACTCCAAGGCTACCCTGACGTAACACCGAGTGACCTTCTGAAAGACTTGAGGTCCGACATCAAAGGGGACAACGACCAACTCGGAAAGATTATGGATTCTGTATGTTTATTACACTTTATATTAAAAGCAAACACGTTAAAGCAAAAAAAACAATGTTGGAGAGAATGTGGTCGCATTAAGGCCAATCACCTACACTTCTTTTGGTCATGTGATAAACTACAATCATGCTGGTCAGATGTTGCCGAGCTGATAGATGGACTTCCCAGGGATCCACAGGTCTTACACCTTGGTCTGATCCCAGAAGGTACGATTAAAAAAGAGAACATCTGTTTAAAATAATGACTGTGGCTGTGAAGAAAGTTATCACAAGAACTGGCTGAAAAAGGAGTCGCTGACAGTGAAATAATGGAGGAGATAAACTGAAGTTTCTATGACGAACCAAACTGGATGCCTTCAAATGGAACTGGTGGAAATGGACACTATAAAGGGCTTAATGCCACTTCAGTGGTTGAGAACTGTTACCCTTCTTTTATGTTGACTCAAAATAAAGAGTAAAAATAAATAAATAAAATAAAGCAATTTAATCATGTGGATCATTATTGAATTAATGATTCATTATTTCTTTATGTTTATTTAAATAGTTATTTTTAGTGTTGTGGAAAAGCTTCTTAAAAGAGCTGAAGCCGTTATAGCTGCAAAATGTGAGCCAACATATTACAAGGCAGATGAGCAAATACTTTTGGTAGTGTAGTTTCTCTTCATGCTCCTTATCGCTGTCTGTCCTCAGCTCCCTGAGGCACAGTTCATCTCAGGGCTCCATCTTCCTGATGTATTCATGCCTCTGACACGCGCTAATCCTCACCCTCTCGCTGTCTGTTGCTCATATGTCTTAGGGTGCTGGACCTTGGGTGGAGAAGTCCGTGTATTTTATAGGATTTTCAAGTCGCATCTATGTCCTTTTGTGACCAGCTTATTGTTCCAGCTGGGTATCTGGCAGGCCTACAGCTTATTTGTACTGTTGAGGTGGCATCTCAATGCCTGTCTTACCATCTGGGGGTGTTGGACATCATGTACTGGCAAATGGGGATAAATGCATGTCTCGTGTTTCGGGTCTCCAGTCACCATAATGGACCTTGTTTTTACGTAGCCTTGCAATAGTTCTTGAAGTTAGCAATATAATCGAGATATAGCAGCACACAAGACTGAGATGTGCTCTTGAAGACAATAAGAGGTTTAAAAATAAAACTCACCCAGATAAAATGAACTTGTTCTGTACAGTTCACGGTTAGCAGGACAATAACTGGTGTTTTACCCAATATTACAGAATTAGAGAATAATTCTGTAACAGTAACTGTTCAGGCAAATCCTCACATAGTTTACTGTTAAAGTGCATATATATTGATGTATCCACATACACAATTGTATATGGTAAATATTGTAAATCAATGCATTAATAGCTTTTCCAGAAAGCACTGCTAGTGTTGTGCCAAATAGTGATCGTCTGCCAAAAACTGATTGTATTTAAAATGCTATAAATAACCTGTTAGTCTGTAATATTTGAACCATATGTGTAATGTATGCCTCGTGTATGATATCAAGCCATCTTGAGCCACAAACAACATTCCTGTTACAAGATAGAGGTCGCAATTAGCTTTTGGCAGTGTCCCTTATTTAAGCAGTTTAAAAAGTCTCGTTGACATTAAAACTTAATTTTTTAAGTGAGATCTGGCCATGAGGGCAGCAGAAATGATAACAAATAAAATAATAGCTTAGTAAACATATTTTAAGTGGCCAAAATGACCGGACTGGCTATACACTGGATATATGACTCCTTTATAAAGCCTGCTGAGTGCAGTCTGTTTACATATAAGTAAAGACATCATGCAAACATTGGAAATCATGTGCTGTTGGACGATCACTTTTTGGCATGAGTCTCCGTGTATCACGTGACAGCGTGACCCCCGCTGACACGACTGCTCTGGTTGTAAGTACATGATTGGTTCCAATTGCGATCACGTCATCCAGTGACCGACCTATTAGCCAATAGGAAGGAGGGGGTGAAGGAGGAAATTGTTTGACAGTCAAGTCCCCGGCTTGTGTTTGTCTACTAACCGAGCATGGCTGAGCTCCAGGTCTGTATAAAAGAATTTAATTACTGGTTTATATTCCGCCGCCTTCTGTTAAGGGAGACCGTTAGCTGATGTAGCGGGTTAGCTGCAGGCTGTGTGTCCTGGAGTGAAAGCATCTCAGACAGCTGTTTGGAGTCTTTGTTCAGCGACTCGTTAGCAGCTACAGAGCAGCTCATGCAGCCCGAGGGCGCAGAAAAAGTCAGCGTGTAACAATGGCTGCGGGGAGCGATTGTTTCTTCGTGTCTGTAGTGTTTGTGCAGGAAGCGGATATGGAGTATGACTTCAGAAAAATCACCCCACTGGGCATTTATGACGTCTTCTTCAGTCTGCCCTTCAGCCCCCTTAGCAAGAATGGAGCAGCTCTAATGTCGCAATTATGTGAGCAAACTGAGCAAAGGCAAACGTGATGTAAGCTCGAGTATAACGGTTCTTTATTGCACCGATTACTTGCGACTTATTAAACAGCTGTTCACTGTCTGGTTGGACTAGACTGATTTTACTTTTATGCAGAGGAAGTGAAGGATTTCCTAAATGTCATTTATAAACATCCCAGTTTTCTTTTGAACACAATAACAAATTATTTCAGAAAAAAACGACCAGGTCAGCCCACAAAAACGGACCTTTCTATTAACCCATAGCACAGAGCATTGGTGTTCACTGACGTGCTTCGTAATACTCAAATCAAGTTAAATTGGACATGAAGCACTTCATGTGTAAAGGCTAATTTACACCATGGAGCACCACGTGCTCTCGAAACTGTAACCATAACTCAGGGAAAACAGCGAGACTAAAGGGGTCACTTTTGTATTTCCCCAAGCTGTAACAATCAGTTTTATCTACAGAATTTAAGGATTCAGAATCAGAATACTTTATTGATCCTTAGGAGAAATTATATACAGTCGAGTCGACTTCCACTCTCTCTCTTAAGCAGTAAGCGGTTCTTTGTGGTTTGGCCGGCTGCACTGACACAGGAAAATCCACCTGTTAGCCGTGATTTTTGGTTTTGTAAAGCTTTATAAATGAAAACTGTGCCGAGGAGGAAGGCTCTGGGGTAAATTAGCCTTCATGCATGAAAGAGTTTTATCTTCTATTTACTCGCAGTATTAAAAACGTCATGGGCAATCTGGAGTAAGATTGCACATACTGGAAACACATCCTTCGAGATTAAGCTAGAGCCCTTTTGGTCATAGAGATGTTTTGTGAGAGAAGGGCGGTGTACAACCCCAAAGAACCCCACTCCCACAGTGAAACACTTTGATGGTCTTATGCTGTGGGGATGGACCTGGTAGAATCTCTTCCAGGCAGAAGGAATCAAGCAGTCAGCAGCAAACTGGGCCCGGACAGTCGCTTTGGTCTCAGCACAAGAGGGCTAATCATTTTGACCCTGGTACATTTAATGTTTTCTTTCTGTGTGCAAATTAAAATAGTATAAGCATCCAGTGGAAAAGCTGTGATAAGAAGTCCTTCCTCTTCCAGCTGGGAAGAAAAAAATCGACCTTTTGCACGTAGTACTGTCCCAACGTTGTCGTCCTGTCTTCTGCAGACTAAGTTTGATGAAGCAGCAGCTGAGGTCAAGCAGCTGAAGGCGAAGCCGACCGATGAGGAGATGTTGCAGATCTACTCGCTGTTCAAGCAGGCCACCGTGGGCGACGTGAACACATGTGAGAGATTTCAAATTCAAGATTTCACTTTCAGATTTCCACATAAATGTAAATATTCTAGATAATTATCAGTAGTGTTTCTTATGTTTTTGTGTTGCAATGTAATGCAGCTCTTTGCTCTGTACTGAAGACGCTGGGCCTTAATGAATGTGTCCTATAATTATTTGACCTGCATTACACAGGAGTCCACTAAATTGTTTAATTTGCTTTGTTTGTCTTTGAAGCTCGTCCAGGGATGTTTGATTTCACTGGGAAAGCTAAATGGGATGCCTGGGAGAAGCAGAAGGGTGAGTGAGAATGGAGGTGGTGGCTACAGCTATATCCAGCTGTAATTCTAAAAAACATGAACTAATATAAATAAACCTAAAATAAATTGTAAGTTTATTTATATTCATTAATTAAAAATGAATTACAAATTTGTTAATTTTTTGTTTTCTTGTTGTCATTTATTATTTTACTAATAAGTACAATTTCAGTACATTTTATTGCATAAAGGCTGAATAAGTTGATGTTACCTTAAACATAAAGGATGATTTCCTCAGTTAGGAGCTCATTTGATTAAAAAAAAGTTGGGCTGGTGCGTTCCTCATCCTTTGTAGGAAATTGGATTATTGCATGTTGTACTCGGCTGCATGCAGCCCCCTTTCAGGACTGTATGAGTTGTTGTAGTGTTGAGTTTGTCAAGCAGGGCTTTGAGTCCTCATGTCAACAAACTATGAAAAAGTCTCTGAAAGTAAAAGCAGGACTAGCTTGTTCATTAAGTCGGTCTGTCTTTTTTTTCCCTCCATAACACATTTTTAATCTGTCTGTCAGGTAAGAGCAATGAGAACGCCATGAACGAGTACATCAGCCTGGTGGAGGAGCTAAAGCAGAAATATGGAATATAATGCTGCGTGATGACAACCAACTGGCTCCAGTCTCCATCCCTGCACCATTAAAACGCCTTAAAACTCAACAAGTGTGTCCGTAAGCAGCTCACATGAACACCTGGTGGACGGCTTCTAGTCCTAGAAACTGACCCAAGCAGCTGCTGATGGACACATTTAAACTGTGTATATATCAGGTTTCAGTATTCATGTGTTTCTGCAGAAGGTCCTGTCATTTCAATAAAAACTAATCTGAAAATGTGATTTTAGTATTTGTTCAGTTCAATTTAATTTTACTTATATGGCACCAAATCACAACAACAGTCGCTTCAAGGCGCTTTTTATTGCAAAGAAAAGAGAGAAAACCCCGTCATGAGCTTTGGCTACAGTGGGAAGGAAAAACTGCCTAACAGGAAAAAACCTCCAGCAGAACCAGGCTGGAGTGGAGGAAGACGAGGAAGGCGCTGCCTCCCATTCTACATTGAAATACCCAAATCATAAGTAAGCCCCCAGTCTAAGAGTGAGCTGCTCTAATAGGGTGATAAAGTATAAAGTTATGGGGCCTGATTATTATTATCATTATTATTATTATGTATTCAAATTCAAATTTTATTTGTCACACACACACAACCATACACAGTATGACATGGGGGTGAAATGCTTGTAGCTGTACAATGCCCGACCATTAAATGACAGAAAAAA